GGTTGGCTAATATCAATGCCCTTGGTATTCTTTCGGATGAGTGCAGAGCAAAGCGAGATGGCTCAAGAGTTTGGATGGACACCGCATACGATGATGCCATGTACCACCTCCGTGATATGGAAGAACCAAACTCGGTTTGTATGGTACCGACATCGACGATCTCGAAAAGCAAATCATGAGCTCCTACGAGGAACAGAACTCACCAGCCGTTCTTAATCAGATGGTCCAGACCGTGGAAGGAAATACAGAAGGCTTCACCAAGAAGCAAGTGAAGGGAGCTTTCCAAGCGAGGGAGCTCTATGCGAATCTCCAGCGTCCGCCTTTGGAAGACTTCAAGAACATGATTCGAGCCGGACAGATCCGAGACTGCCCCGTGATGTTGGAGGATATCAACAATGCCGAGCTGATCTTTGGCAAAGACATGGCCAAGATCAAAGGCTCCACTACCCGGAAACGTCCACCGCCAGCTACCGAGAGTGTACATGCTGTCCCTGAGGAGTTGGTGGCCCATCACCATAATGGATTACCAGGTGCCATGGATGTTGTCAATATTTGTGGTCTCAACTTTCTCTCCTTTATCGATTTGAAAGTTCGGTACAGGCAGATCGTTCATTTGAAAGACTTGACAACTGATTCCTACTATCAGGCCCTGGATCAGATCATGGACACGTATAACGGGAACAAGTTCTACATTGGCACTATCCAGTGCGACAATGCGTTCAAGCCGTTGATGGACCCAGTCAAGAATGATATGGGTGTCAAACTCGATCATCCGGCAGCACAGGTGCATGCCCCCGCCGCAGAGCGGAACAATCGAACCATCGAAGACCGTTTCCGAGCAGGTTTCCATGCAGTCCCTTTCCAAGTCATGCCGAAGATTATGGTGGAGCATCTGGTTTACGATTGCAATGAAAAGTTGAATCTCTTCCCAGCAGCCGAAGGAATCTCCCGTGTCTACCCCCCGCGGCAGATTTTGACTGGGAAGACCACAGGTTACAATGACGTCAAGTATACGTTTGGCAGTTTCTGCATGGGTCACCACGAGTCCCCTGCAGCTCGCAAGAACAGCGCCGAGCCCCGTGGGTTGGAGTGCATCTATCTGCGTCCAATCCTGGACAACAGCAAGGGTGGCCATTATTTGTTGGACTTGCACACCTGGAAGGTGAAGACACGCCAGTACGTTGACATCCTCCCGATGCCCAAGCTTGTGATTGAGCGTGTGGAGAAGAAAGCCTACAGTGAAGGCATGAAGCCGCTACAGACCCACAACCGTAAGAAGGTGGAGTTTTTGCCTGTCGGTTTGCCGGCAGGAGTGGCGGGAAATCAAGGCAGTGAAAGTTACATGCAACATTTTGCAGTTGACGAAGAAGATGACGATGAAGAACCAATCGCGCCAGTTCCAGATTGGTTTGACAACACCGTCGATAGCGACGATGAAGATGATGGATCGGTCCCAGGTTTGGTACCGAGACCACAATACGATAGCAGCGATGAAGAAGACAGTGATGACGAAGAAGACGAGGGTGACATTGTGATCGAAAGGTTACCAAGAGGAGTTCCAGGCAATCCGACAGAGCAAGCAAGCAATCGACCGAGCATCGTGGACCCAACTGATGGACCATTCGAAGGCCCAGCCAAAGCAAGCAAGCTGACAAGAGTTGGATTCTGCAGATCTGCCAGGATCGCAGCCAAACAAGTAGCCACGAAGGGAGTCACCTTCGCGCAGGAGTGTACCAATTCCAAGGATCAGGAACCGGAGAAGAAGCCGCTTCAGTATGAGACAATGACGGCAAAGACAATGGCACAGTTCATTCATGAAATCAACCACGGTAGGATCAAAGATGACTCCGTGAGGAGCAAGTCATGCGCAGCAGCACTTGTTGCCCAAGGGATTGAAGATCTGGGGCGACAGGGCCAAGGAAGCAGCGCGAAAAGAGATGGACCAGCTACACAGTCGTGTGGCATTCGCACCAGTTCGACCAGAGGAGTGTAGCAAAACAGAACTCAAGAAGTCGCAGGTGACGCTTATGTTTGTTACAGAGAAGAGAGACAGGACCGTCAAGGCCCGAGCCGTTTTCAACGGGAAACCAACCAGAGTTTATCAGGACAAGGGTGAGACGTTATGACTTTGGATGTACCGAATGCTTTCATCCAGACAGCATTGCCGCAACCCAAGGATGGTGGTGACAGGGTGATTATGAAGATTGAAGGTACTCTCGCAGAGCTACTCGTGGAAATCGACTCTGACACTTACAAGGCGTTCCTTGTCTATGAGAAGGGGAGACCTATCCTCTACGTTGTGGTATTGAAGGCACTTTATGGAATGCTCATTGCAAGTCTGCTTTGGTACAAGGCGTTCCGCAAGGATATGGAGTCCATTGGTTTTGAATTCAACCCCTACGATCCTTGTGTTGCCAACAGGATGGTGAATGGCAAGCAACAGACTATCCGTTTCCACGTCGACGACCTCATGTCCAGTCATATGATGGCCAAGGTGAATGATGATTTTCTGGCCTGGTGCAATGAGAAGTATGGTACCTATGGTGCTGTCAAAGCAACCAGAGGACCCAAGCATGATTATCTAGGGATGACGATTGATTTCTCTGAGCCGGGCAAAGTCAAGATCGACATGATTGACTATCTGACCAAGGTACTGGCAAAGTCTTGAGGTCAACTCAAGACGGGTTTCAAGGTAGTTTGGGTGCGAATAGCAGGTGCTATCAGGTGCAATAGGTACAATCCTTTGTCCTGGTCAACAGGTACACTTATTTGTTATGCTTAAACTAAGAATTGTTGAGCACACAGGGTCTCCTAAAGTCAAATTACAGTGCACATTTCGAGTGGCGCGAAATGGGCTCCTAACAGGCGAAAAACGGGACTTCCAGCCACTTGTGCATATAAACCTTCATCCAAGACTTCAACTGACCACCAAACATTGATATATATGGACATTCATAGTCCAGGGCTTCATAATGTCATCAAAAATATAGTAATCATGCTTGTCCCAAGACCCCATAGTATCTTCCATCATCTAGGAGTCTTACCCAAAGATACTTATGAATCATGCCCAAAGATTACTTATGAGTCATGCCTTAAGACTTAGAGCACAGGCCAACAATACAATATCACAGAGTGAAACACTTCCAAGCAGCACACTTGTTCCAGGACAGACAAGCTGAGAAAACAGCACTACTGTGTAAAACCACCAAAGACAGACACAGAGGGAAGCCAGCAGTAATGATTTCACATCATGTGGCTCCAATCCAACTCCTGTCACTCCCCTTGGGTTGGCGGCACAAACACAGAGACAACATACAGGGGTAAGGTGGGCTCTTCAATCATCAAATCGCCCGTAAATTACCTGCTTGCAGAGCCGGTACATCTTTTGGGGTCCAAGAGGCTTGGTCCCAATATCCGCGAGGTTCCATCATGATGCGATCTTCCCAACACTGGCAACACCTATGGCAACAGCTTCCCTGCACTTGTGGTAGGCGCAGGCATGGTGCTTCTTATTGAGGGAGGAGGACGGCAAATGTAGGTTGTTGACAACTTACATGTTGTCAACCAAGATGGAGGTTGGGTTCTTCACTTCAACTCCCAACATTCTGGCCTTGTACCTCATGGCAGGGGCAGCCTCAACTCCAATCCTTGCTGTGACCAACTCAGCCCCATAGGTGGAGCACTCAATGGTAGCCAACCTCTTGGAGTAGGACTTGGTGGGCATCTGTCCAAAGAAAACTATGTAGGAAGCCACACTGGACATTTCAATCTTGTTTGATTCATGGCTAGCATCCACCATGATGACTTTGGTGATCTCAGGGACAAGGGGCTCAGGGGCATCTGGGTCCATGGGCTCCATGGAGTCAGGGTACAATCCGGTCCAATCATTGTCTTCAGAGAACTGGAAATCCCCCAGGACGGCTGGGGAAGGGTTGGCAGCCAGCCTAAGCTTGGGCCTGAACGTGAGGTACCCATACATCCTCAGCAAACGGGCCTCATGACCCTCCCTGGGCTCCCTACCATACCTAGCCATGGTATTGACAGTGTACTGGATGTCAATTCTCCCCCGTGTAACTGCCCACTGACCACAACCAACCAACATCTGGTACTGGGTAACTCTGGTGCTGTCTAAGTAGGGTGACTCATCCAACTCGGGGTTATCTTCTGGTTCCATGGGAGATCCATAGTTCTTCAATGTGATCTTGTAGAGTGCTTCAAGCTTGGGGATCAAGTTCTCAATGTATGTCTTGGCAGAGAACTCCCAGAGTTCTGTCTCAGGGTTGAAGGTCAAGTCTCCTCCACTGTAGTACTCAGGGTGCCTACTCCTTTCATCCCAAAGTGGTAGATGTCCTTGGGGGGTTCAATCACTTGGTGAGGGGTCTTGGAGAACACCAGAACATCATCAAAAATGACCCCAACATACTCATAGGGGTTCACTTTGTTCCTCATCCAAATTTTGCTATCAGCTCTGGAAGGGTTGAAGCGCATCTGGATCGGGGTGTCTTGCAAGTTGTCTCCCACCACATGGCACCAGAAACCTTGAGCCCGTACAATTCCCTGATGACGATGCACAAGACCCCAGCTAGGTCTCCACATTCATCTCCAAGGGTCACACAGATCTTCTCAACTGTGAGGGACATCAGGTAGGCATACCCAACATCCCCCGCAATCACCTCTAGCTTCATCAATGCGGCAATGACAAACACCATCCTGATGTTCTCGAGATCACCAACCCCAGAGTAGAGGTTATATGGGTGGTCCTCAGTCATATGGCCCACCTGCAACACACCTGGCTCGGTGCCTCCCATCAAACTTCACAGAGAAGCACCAGAGCAACTTGATCTCCTGGTACTCATCAGTCACCTCCCCTGGTTTGGCTTTCTTGAAGCAGGGGAACCTATTTTTGAGTGTGTCCACCTCCAATTCAATGGCATTGGTCCACAATGAGTTGCCATTGATCTCATCCAGCTTGTAAGCCTCTGCCTTGGTCCCTGGAACCCTCACTCCAAACTCATTTCTGACAGCACCACCAGTTTCCTCTTTTTCATCAGCCTCCATTGCTTTCTGATCCTGATGAACTTCTTCCTGTTCTTCAGATACTTGTGGGCCCATTTCCACCTGGACTCATGGACAATGCCTTTGAGTGCTGCATACTCTGCAAGGACTGTTGGGCTGTCCTTCCTGATCACTTCCATCGGTTCCCAGGTAGCCTCATCCTCAGGGAAACCACTCCACTTGACCTTGACATCGATCTTTCCTTGTCTACCAGGTTGTTGGGACCATTTGTGGTCTAGGATCTTATCAAAATCCCAGTATTCTGCATCAGCATCATCTGACCTGGGTAGCATCTTCACGATCTCTTCATACTCATAGATCTTCTGCTTCCCACCCTTGAATTCCACCCTTGATTGGGTGGTACCATCCTCATAATTGTAGACCTCTTTAATATGACCTTTTACATCTCTTTCTACGCCTTTTTTATTGGGGATGCGGTCCCAGATGATCAGGTCCTTGATGGTTTCTTTGGGTACTTCTGCTGGGGGAGCCTTGAACTTGGGTTCCTCCCCAGTTTTGGTGCTGGGGTCCTTCTCCCCAGTCTGGGTGTACACAACAGGCCAGAAAAGCTTCTTCTTCCTGGCCCCTATCTTCCTTTTGGAGAACTGAGACAGCATCCCTAGTAGTATCTGAGATGTTCTCCCCTTCAATCTTCCTCACCGCATATCTGACAATGAGTTGCTCAGTTTCAAGGGTTAGGATCCAAGAACACATCCCATCACCATGGTCCAGAGCCCTGCCCAACCATCTTCCAAGCCTCTCATTTCCACCAACTGCTTGTCCAGGGAACTTGTGGGTAGGCTCATGGTACAGTACTACATCCCAGAACTTGAATTTGATGAGATTGGAGATGTCTGGGGTCTGCCCAGTAAGTTTTTCAATGGGTGTCCTCCATCCCAAGCATTCCTTTGCAGTGTTTCTGTCCAAGTCTGCGGCGTGTTGGATGGCCTTTGCCCAGGCTTGGGGTGCGCAACCCGTTGTGATCATCATCTTGGTTACACTCCCCTTGCACACCCCAATTCCAAACTCAGCACGATTTTGGGATGGCTTGAAAGGCTGGGTGAACTTGTCCTTGGACCAATACCTGCGCATGTAGTCTGTCCACACCTTGCCCATTTGCATCTTGGAGTTGTCCCGAAGGATGGATGGAGGGACACCAACTTGTTTGAAGAAATCGAGGAGGGCATTCGGGCCATCCTTTTCACTCCCCAAGCCATAGACAAAAATAGAGTGGGAATCGAGGCCATAGAAAATCTGACAGGCGTTGTATCCTTCATAGGAGGTGACTGTGGAGAAGAAGGTGTCGGTTGCAAAACCTTCTGGGAGGCGCCGGCGTTGGAGAACTGGGTTCATGGACTGGACTTGGTTTCTCATTGGAAAATGGGAGTTTATGCCTCCATAGGCAGTGGTAGCCTCAATAGTGTGCTGCACAGTATCCTCAGGTAGATTGAGGAAGTAGGGTCGGACATCCTTTACTGTAGGGCGTTTGGCGGTAGTTGCTGTGTGGTTGAGGTGGGCTGTGATGGAATTTTCCCAGGTTGCAAATTCACTCTGGGTCAATGACTCTTCCACAAAAGTTTCAGGGTTCCACACCATGGGGCTAGTTATTTCATAAGCTCTAAGTGTGGATAATTCTTCCTCTGTGGGCCTTCTGATGGGGAAGCCCAGCAAGGCTCCCCTGACATAGAGAGGGATGACAATATCATCTAGAATGATGCAAGAGTCTCCACCGTGGCGCCTGGCAGTGTCACTAACATAGAGGCCAGCTTCTCTCATCTGAAAAGCTGATAGTAGTGTTGTAGCCTGCTTGTGGATTGTAGCTTCATGGTACCGTAGTAGGATGGTACCTTCTGTGGGGTGATCGTAGGCGGTAACCCCAGATCCGATGGGGACATCAGAGTCTTGAACAGAGTTGCTGTACCCTGTAACGTCCACCTTGCGGTCTGTGAGCGTTTCAATGATCCAAGCAGGTCCACCGATGGAGCCAGTGTCGGCACAGCTGTCTACTGCACTACGCTAAAAGCTAGTGTAAAGATCTTTCGAGTGTTTTGAGTTGAGAGAATGAAAGTTATGAGAGAGATTAGAAAGCTATGAAAACTAATCAACGAGAGGAGATCATCATCAAGGGATCGTAGATCTGGCCTCCCGCGGGAGACTATAAAGTGTGATAGAGTAGGTTTTGGTAGTGATTCCTACGTCTTTCCACGATCCTAAACGGAACGCGTGGAAGGTTTGTCTAGCATGGATCTAGTAGCGTGGATAGTACTCACGGCTGGCTAAATATCTAATAGCGTGTTTTCATCATCAACCTAGTGTGACCAGAGCGGTCATTAGAACCCTGTCTCAAATGGCGACTATTCACGAGAGACTCAGTTCTGAGTCGAACTCCAAACCCTATCTAGGATCGGTCGCGATAAGGCTAAGAGCCGTGTATTTTTTTCGCCCCCTGACAAGGGGTCACAGTAGGCGCGACAGCAGTCGGCAAAGGAGAAACATTATGATTTAAAGTGCGGGGCACTCTCGTCATATGATTTTCGGATGTTGAGGTGGCCAATCGCAACCTGTCAAATTCGTATACAAGGGGAATCAGGCCGTGTCTCGCGCGCTAGGCATATAATCAACTCTCAGAATCGTTTCCTCATTCTTCGGTAGACTGTGCCCGCTCCTCTGGCGCCAACGAGTATTGCTATGCTCGTGGACCTCTGTAGTCTTCAGCAATACCTGTCTCGCGCAGTGCATCGTCATATAAGATATATAAGACATACGGTGACTCATGTGAGT